TGATACATACATTTTATGCGCGGCATAAGTAGCAGTAGCAGGAATAAATATTTACCTCTGTTTTGATTTATCGGACATTCTGTCATTTCTTAAAAAACTTTTATGTATATAGTTTTTATAAAATTTATTTTTTCCATAAAATCCCTCCACAATTACTATATACACTTAGCGAAAGTATCTATGGGATAAGACTATAGATAAGTGAAATAAGGTGTAGCCATGCCAATATGGTTTAGTGATGGTGTCAGTGGCGGTCCGGTGAGTAAGGATGTAGCTTGGCCAAGTTCATTAGCGTAAGTGGCTTTCCGAAATGACATAATGTCATAATATCATCAGTCTGTCCAGCGGACGAGTGGTAGGATTACCTATTCAGTTCAAGTACGTGTGTGAGTGAAGAAATTAATTTTCCAAATAGCACACACACACACACACACACACACACACATACACATATATATTTTTATATATGACTACCATAGTTTTTATCGTTTACGATTATGGCTCATTTTAAACTATGAAAACGGTTTGGATTTTTTTTTCTATACATTTTTTCCACGCTACTCGTTGTAATTTTAATGAAAATCAACACAGTATTTTTTTTTCCTAGTGTCATTCGACGACCCGTCGTCCCATGAGTGTATTATGTTTTGTTTTTTTGTTTTTTTTTTTATTCTTTTTAATGTCGTACCAAAAAAATCGTAAACACCATTTTTCTCCATCTTCTTCTCATAAACTATTTCATCCTAGGTTTATTATATGCCTTATTGATTAAAAAAAAAGAAAAAAATTAACGTTACAAACAACTTAAAACGACGATAACATCTAAAAAAAAAAACATAAAAATCGTTTCAAATGTTATTCTGTGATTATTTTAGTAGCCATTATTGTTTATTCGAATGATTAATAAAGAACAATATACTGAAGCAGTTTAAAGAAAATCACCGTTAATTTTTTTTTTTTACCCATTTCCATATTTTTAAATTTTAAATATGATTAAATATGTTAAGCTATTATAACTACTATAAAATGTTTATTTTAGCTGTTATATATTAAGGTTGAAAAATATTTTTAAATTTTATAGAATTTAAGTATTTATACGGCATAAAACTATTTTATTTCGTGTTTTAAATTAATAATTTTTTTTTTTTTACAACTAGTTATTAAATCTTTTTTAAAGTGTTTTTTATATTCATATAATCATATGGTTAATTAAAAAACATCGTACTAATATATTTATTAAATCTTGTCATTAACAAATTTTATCTCTTAAGCTAGTTAAACTATAATAAATAAGTTAATATGTATTTTAATATAAATATTTTTAAATAATTTCTATGAAATAACATTTATTTTTTCTAAAAATAAACCGAAAATTTTAAATTTTAAAAAAATACTTTTTTCATTTTTAGGGTAGTTGATAAATGATACATATTACACGAATAAGTATTTATTTTAAACATAACTATTATATTTATGTTATTACTATTGATATGAGTAAAGATAAGATTATTATTTCAGATTATCGAATACGCATAAAGTAATTTTTGTTTAAATTTGGTAAGCAATTTATTAAGTGAAAGTTTTAATAATCATCCCCCCCCACCTATCCACCCCTCAAAATATTTAAACAAATGTTGTAGATATATAAAAAAAGTTTTTAAGAACAAATGTTTGTAGCACTCAATTTTAGTTTAATCATGTCTAATCTTATATTAATATCAATAATATTTTATCTAGTTTGATGACAAATATTAAATTATTTTCTTTAGTTGTTAAAATAATAAATATAATAAATTTAAAACATTTTTAATTTTTATATACAACTGTGTTATTATTTTAATGAATAGCGATGAGAAAGTAATGCAGCAGCTTAAATTCAAGAAGTTTCCACTCTTGGTAATTGCTGATGGTACCTCCTTTAAACAAAAAACATCCAAATGGGTGATACGGTGATGTACTTATTTAAACAATGTAGAATACAAAAAAAAAAGACTGACCTAACACAAAAGAATTTATAGTTTTATAAACTATCTGTTTGTGTATAGAAAGTATTTTGGTTGGGTTAACCTTTAAATTTCATAATAATATATCATTGTTTGATTACTAATTGAAGTATATAACTAATTGATTTATTACAAAACTTATATTGTATTTAAACTTATTTGTTTATTTTATTTTAGAAAAGTTGAAAAACATGTTTTAATTACTGACGAACAATAATGATGGAAATGAATGCAAGTAACTCAATGATCAATGTATAGCATAATTTATATTTTTTAATTTACTAAAAAAAATGAAAATAAAAACAAAAGTTAATTCCTTTCATTTAGCCAGCTAATTTATGTCTTGTAGGTTTTAAAGGTTCTTGACTGAAAATGTTTATTCCAAACCGAAATACCAAGGTCATATCATTGAGTTCATTTTACAAATAAGGGAATTGTTGAAAAATCAACATTTTCATGGTTATTAAAACATATTAAAGGAGTTTTAGAAATATAGTGTGATTTTATCGCTAATTACTAGTCATAAGAAGATTAATGTAGGTAATAGTATAATACAATATTATTTTAATGATAAGGTAACCCACTATATTAGACAATTATTTTGACGAGTGAAGGTAAATTAAAAATTAATATCCAAATTCTATTATTATATTATGTAAATAATATTTATGCAATGATATGTGAATAATAATACATTTAGATGTTGCACAATAATTATTTAAAATATAAATACAATTTAACGGCTATTCTAAAAATGAAATTACTGGTCAGGGATCTCAACTAGAAAATAACACTAACGAAAAAGTACTATGTTTAAAATGGAAATTTGATTAATATTATTTTTTAATTATTAGGATTGTTCTTATCTAAATTATTATTATTTTTTTAATTATTTAAGTGATTTAATAAATAATATTTAGTCAAGTAAAACTAATAACACAAGATTCATACAACGAAAAAAAATATCTATTTATATTACTCTACATACTTATAAATTGTAATATATAAGCATACATAATATATACATAAAGTAATAATAACATTATAGTGAGTTAACAAGATATCTTAGTTAAAGTATATTTTTTATATATATACGTATAAAATATGTATAATTGAGTATAAATAGTAATTAAGTTTAAAGATCTCTGGACCATTTTTTTTTACATTCGACGAATTATGTGAGCAAGGTAGAGAAAAAATAAATTGGATTTGAAAAGATTTAAATGATGACATAGTTTTTTATGAAATCGTTTGTGGAAGTTTAGATCCTTGATCAGGGATGGTGATTATGTTAAGGTCATTATAGAGGGTTTGATTACCATGAAATATTAGTTATTGACTGGGGGATGTTGACTAAAAAGAATGTACAATTTTTTTATACTTGAGATTTTGAATGCTTGTAGAGGGAGGAGAAAAGTTTATTATTACTCTGTAAATAACTATCAAAGAATAGTACAACTACCTTATATTGATATTATAAGCAATTGTATAAATATATTTATATTGCTGTACGATTTTAAAAGTATATAATTGTATATTAGCCACCTCTTAAGAAATAATTTATTTCCAAGGCATTATAGGCGCATTAAATATAGATAGCCAACTAAGTCTAAATTGTACTATAGGTATACTTGCATCACATTTATTGGTCAATAATAATAATAATAAAAAGACACAGCAGTGTATCCCCGGATATGACGATATAAATACTGTTTAACAATAATTAAACGTAAAGAGTATATATATATGTGTGTGTATATTGTATACTTTGCACATAACTGTACACTATAAGATCATGTATAAAACACGTAGCGTGATATTAAGTATAATACTAGTGGTGTAGCTTAATGATCGGTTAAAAATGTGGCTGCTAGTTCAACGATCCCCCACACACATGGCCACAATCGTTCGTTTTACTCGATTTCCCGATTGCCATCTAACCTCGTTTGTTTGAGTAGCGTATAATAAATGCAGTAGCTGGGCATATAGGTACACGGTAAGTAATTTATGATCAATTAGTAATGCAATCGGATCACTACGTTTATAGGTACATACTTAGACCAGACTGTTTAGATATCATCGTAACATTTAATATACAAAACGGCCATGGAAATGTACAGAGAACATGGGCGTGATTTACTGATTTGCGTCAAAGCAGTATCGATGAAAATAATATTTTAAATAACGATTATTGAAGAAATTAGAACGAATTCAAATAATTTAAGTTGATGCCTAGTCGTAGCTAGAGTGTACTTATAATAGTGCGATGATTTATATAATCTATGTATACGTATAAATGGTGTATTATACAAATTAATATTAGTTTGCAAGACAAAATTTATGGCCAATACTGCAGCGGTGGAATAACCAAGTTTGAAAAGACCTGAAGCTCTAAGAAATTAAAAATGGAAATAGGATAACATAGTATATGATTGAGATGCATCGCAAGATGTAGTGAAAATGGAGATGTGTCTAAATGTATTCTCAAATAAGTCGAGAAAAAAAAAATAAAAAGTAGGAGTAACACAGTTTTGACGCACAGCTGAGTACATTGTTCACACGGGGACTTGAAAGTCATTCTGATAGAAATTGATTTTAAATGTAGGCGTATAATCGTCAAGTGGAATATTATAATCCAACGAACGGAACGCGTACGTATAGGGTTGGACTTCACAACAAATCGTTTAATGATAATGATGGAATCGCTGTGCTGTCAAGAGGCCGGAAACGAGACTTTTGGTGTCGTCTATACAGACCATGATATTAAATACAGCCACAAACCTATTATACACTGTGCAATCGTGTGGAAAATTAATAAACGCCACTTGAAACTAGTTGAAACCCTATTGTTTGAATTGCGCGGCAACTGAATGGATTTTGATTAAACATTTCGAGTGCTGTTCAACGCCGCCTTATACACATATTAAGTCTTTATATACTACGCATGTAATAATGTAATATTATATATTATGCGAAGTCGTTCGTACACGATGATGATGTTATGTCCGCGTGAAACGACATTCAAATAATATAGTAATATTATTATATAGGAAGTCGATGACGTTTGTTTTTACGACCAACAACGCCGAACGGAGTTTCAATATAGTTAATTATTTTAATTATTATTATCATAATGGTTATTGGAGAACTCAAATACGCCTTGAGCTACAGTCATCGTAGTGCTGCACACTTTCTGTGACAATAAAGGTAGGTTTAACTATGGTAATATTATACTCAACTAACTTCGGTAAGCAAATTCAATTAAACTGTAATACACGGCATAATATAACAAATTCGACGATCTTTTAACAAACAATCGACAATAACGATACCTGGTAAGTTATTGTTGTTTTTCTAGTACAAAAAATAAGCTATTGCAGGCGTTATAGATTTTGTAATGTTTTTTTTTTTTTTTTTTTTTTATATAAAATAATAGAGATTGCAATTATTATGTACAAAACAAGTATAGTTTATGCGGTGAGGTTTTCAACATTGTCATATTTAATAATTGTTTATAGAACGATCGAGCATGATACATGGTATTGGTTCAAACAGATAACGAAAACCAATTTTATAATCCATATAAAAAGTTGAATAACCTAGAAAAATGATTTTTTGGCTTTTGGTCTACAATTTTTAAGAAATCAAAGATGCATTTTCGAATTAATAATGAGTTACAGCAAAACAAGGTAAAAAAAAAAAAATATCTAATAAAATATTATCAGACACTTTAATTAAATATATAATATACTACCTATATACTTACAACAAATTCATTGATCAATATAAATAATTATTATTATTTACCAAAATATATTATTTATAATCTTAATCATTATGGTCAATAAAATTAAATTATAGGTTTGATTAAAAATACAACTTATACATTGTACAAAAAGTAATTTAAAACAAAATTGGTCACTACAAGGATCGTCTTATATATACAAATTTAAATTTAAGTAACAATATTAATATTAAAAACATTTATTTTTTATTCTTGTGGCAATAAAATATCTGACATTTTCATGAATTATATATCTGTAATTTATAATTAGAACAATTGACGTCGATTCCAAGAATAATTATTGATAATATACTTATATATCTGAATATAACTCACATGTATTTTGACACCGACAATGTTTACCCTTCGATGACATTATCCGTATATGAATGCGACCGATTTTCTGGTAAACTTAAGCATCGTTCTAGTCGAGGTTAAATTTGTCGTGCGTGAAGATTTCACGATTTTATATTTTTGTACCACTTGCTTTGCCCCACATATACCTATATGGTAATCTTATGCACGTGCGATATATCATCTCGTACAGACGAGCCCAAAGGTCGTTCTAACGACAGAAGAAACGTCTATATAAATAATAATATATAGTAATGATTCGCGAAAACCGATAAATCCGATTTAAAATAAAAAATCATAGCGATTGGACAAATCACTGTAAATATTTTATAACGTTGTATAATTTAATACTTTTAATCATACGATAATTGTACATGTACCTACTATGTGTACGACACAGTTGGGTAAGTTGGTTGTTGTACAAGACCATCACACTTAAATCTTTTCGTACACGGTTCCAAACAAGTTTCATTGTTATAGCTCAACAAGTTATGGAACATTTGTAATTTTTAATAAAGCACAAAACACTTATCAGCTTCTATATAAAATAGAAATATTAAAATATTAATATTATTTAATATATTTTATCGATTTAAAACAATGTTATTATCTATATAAATTATATAATATTGTTATTCATAAATAATACGTAAAGTTATACAGATAATATAGTACCTATATTTATAAAGTAAAACATGAATACTAAATATTAAAACTATTAATAATTCATTATTAATGTTTTATTATCTATTGGTTTAATACAATATCCTCTATATTCAACATAATAATTTCGGTTTTAAATATTATAATCGTTATTATCAAAGTTATTGTTTACATTATTACTATATATTATTATGCAGGTAATGTTATGAATATTTAATACAATTATTACGTATGATAAAATTAGAAATATGCTAACAGTCTTTGTCTACCTTACTGGTATTCGTGTAACTTTTATACAAATAATAAAAACAATTAAAATTAAAATTAAAAAAACTTGACAATTTTCAGAGTATTTTAAAATTTTAAAAATGTTGATAAAAAAATAAATCAAATTAAAATATTCAAGCTTACGGCTTTAATTAGTTTAATATATATGTGTATTAAATAAGGGT